CTAGCTAACATTAGCTCTGGTGTTTCTAGGACTGTTCTAGCTAACATTAGCTCTGGTGTTTATAGAAGGCCTGTTTCAGCAATCACAGCTATTATATTTAACATTTGAAAGCCATCAGCATCAGATTTGAGAAGCTCCTATGTTACCCTGAAATGTTAAATTGTCTATTTTTTCTGTGGGCTTCCACATGAAGAAGTAAAACCTCCTCAATGTCCTTAAATTTTAAAGTGCATTTCTGAGTATTTTGAATCATTAAATAATAAACATTTTTGTGGAGTCGCCCACACAGCCGTGATGTTACTGTTCACTCTCAATAATATTATCGTCTGTAGAACATTGAAAGGTGTAAAAAAAAATGTGAGTCAGACTTTCAATGAACTGATCAGTATGATTGATGTAGAGAATCGCAGATTCAAGCTTCGGCGTAGCCGGGCAGCCGAATTATTGTCATAAAAAAGTGGCAGGAAGAGAAAAGTGCTGAATTCCTGTAAGCACTCAGAAAATGCTGTCTCAGAGCAGCCATAAAAAGCCTGAGTGTCTGGACGTGTAGAACCTCAGATGTGTGAATGACAGTGGAATTAAAGGCAAATAACACAGAGAGAAATGCACTTCTCAAATATATGCAGGAAACTTGTTTTTTTTTTTTGCTGAAACCACAAAAAAATAGTAATTTTAGACTATATTTTTATATGAATCCTGAAGTTATCAAGAGTTCAGGGTTTCTGCCTCATTACCGCCAGAAAAAGAAATCTTTGCAATACTTATTAAAGGTACAGGCAGCTGCAATAGGGGAATTAAGGATGGCCTGTGGCCTAACGGTGAGAGGAACAGGCTGGTGATCAGAGGATTGATTGTGTGATCAATCCTAACTCTGTGTAGAAAGAAGGTAAAAAAAAAATCATTAAATCAAGAAAATAGGTGGATGGGACTATTCAGCAAAAAAGAGTCAGATATCGAACTGATGACTGTCTTGCTGTAAGGCAAGATCGCAGATCACTCTCCAACTGCCGGGCTTTTCACTCTATACAATATCTATTTAGATTCTCTCTCTTTCTACAGTAAACACACGTCGGAGGGCAGTGGGATTCCTCCGTGTTTACTCTGCAAACAGGGAAAAATAATAACACAAAAAAACAATAATGGTTCTTTCAGGGCCTGGAGAGGTTGGGAAGCCCTGCCTGGAAGAGTTGACCTATTCCAATCATAGCTTCTTCATAACTGATGCTGAAAGTCACATCCAACTATATCAGACGGTACATCTGATTGACCCCCATGTGGTGAACTCAGTCTTCCAGTGCTGAGGGCAGCGTAGTGATAGACAAGTAGAACTACACTCACGGAGGTAGAGTTCAACTCCCTGTGGGGGGCAGTCTGGTGTTGATCTGAACGATGTCTGAACTCCTGGAGGGCTTTCATTCTGCCTGTATGTTCCTACAACACTATTCAAGAAACACATTGTATGTCTTTGTTGTTAGCCGATTTATACTTTAAACCTTCCACTGTTAATCACTGCAGGTTGTACTGCAGATGATAACATGTCTTGTTGAACCTTGGTTGCAATTACAAAAAAAAAAATCTTATAGAGGAACCATCAGAATCTCAGATTTCTTTCCTTTTTCAGTACTACCGTATGTATTACATTACCCCATCAAAAAGTGTTCGTTTAAAACCCGTAGAGGTCGGACTGAGGAACATTCACTGTGAAATAAACTCAGTGAAGTCCTGGTTCTTCGGTTCACGCGGCCTCCTTGTTCAAGGCTCAGCCCAGGTTCCGACCCTGAATACATTTCCATGACGAGCCTGTTAAAAAGACAGGGACAGTGTGGAAGTCAGGTGAACACCAGGGTGAGGAGCAGATCACAGCTGGCACTGATTGCTCCTCCTGACCTGCTCCTTCCTCCCACTTTATGTGATGATCATTCATTTCTACATCAAGGGCGAACCAGAGATGATGTCCCTCAGGTTCTCTGGCTGACGACAGCCTGGAGAAACTTTATTAAGACTCCACACACTGCTGCAGAACTTCAGCAATGTACAGCATGGGGAAAAAAGAGTTTTAGAATTCTCTTTATGGTCTTTATTATTAATATGAAAAATATACAGGAGACAGAGATGAGGATTCTATAACCAGTGTAGAAAAACAGCAAGTTTAATAATAATAATAATAAAAGAAATCTGATATTTCAGCAGAATAACTGGTCACTTTTCTGAATTCTTCTCCTGTTTTTTTCATTGTTTTGTTCTACAGACCATTGCCTAAAACTAAAGGTCAGTTACCTTCTATCAATATTGATTTTACTTCCTGGTGTCAGCCTGGAGAAAAGCAGCATTAATTCAGTCCTCAGAATGTTGCTTATTTTGTCACCTATTGGTATTTGGTAAATATATGTCAATATGATTAATTGCAATTAATTAATTATAAGCCTATATTTGACAGTTATTTTTCAATCATGGCCGACGAGTATTTAAAATATTAATTAACAACTGGACCAAACAGTACCATCAGGTTCAGCTGACCATCAAATTTACCTTTGTCTCCCGTTTCAATGTCATACTAGAGCAGTGCTGCAGTATTTGTGTTTCCGTTGTACTTCCTTGTTCTTATACTTTAGCACTGTGTTTTTTAAAGTAGGGGGGGGATTTTTTTTCAGGAAAAAAAACTAACTAACATGGCAGCAACTAACAGGGCAGCTGTAGCCCTGAAGGGTTGAGCCTGTTATCAGGCTGCTTTGCTTCTCAAGCTAACATGTAGCTACAGTAGGTAACGCAAAATGGACAGGTTTTTGACAAGCATTGTCTGTAGGTTTGGAAGGGGCGCCATGTCATGGAAGGTTTGGGAACCCATGCTATAGCATACTGGACTTGATGGCATGGAGTTTGCCCTCCCACTCCCAAAGATCACTCTGCTTTGAAGCCCCCACCTTCACTTCAGAACTTTTCCATTGTCATTGGTTAGCCGTCCGTGGCTTATTGTATTCTGAAGGGAATTTTTTCCCCTCTGCTCTCACACAATTCCAGACACATGTCAAAACTGTGACCTTTTACATCATCTTGACATTATGGATTTAATGATGGCAAAGACATTTGGCACAGAGCCTGGAACAAAGACATCTTCTATGAATCGTTTCGACTGTATTCATTCCTTTTCTGTCTAAGCCTCAGCTCAGCAACAGCCTGAAAAAAAAAGTCTTTTATGCGCTTTAAACGTCTTAAGGAGGAGAAGCGTGGCGGCTAAATGCAGGTGATTAGGTTCTGATCCACGGTTAATGAGCGCATTGTTGGGACGACTCTTCACTAAAACCTGTCGAAGACGGACTAAGTCCGATTGATCCGCTGTGATGTGATTCATGTGCTGCATGTATCTCTGTCCCTCTGCCTCTGATCCATACTTCCACTTACCTCCCGATCTGACCACTGCTGCCTGTATCTCCACGCCGCACAGCTTAACGTCGGACCGATAAGACACAAAGGTTATCCTTCCAACCTTTATCGATTCGTTTCCACTGCCCTCCCTCCTCTGGCCTGTGTCTCACAAAGGCTGAGCGGAAGCCGCGAGGAAAATCTTAATCACCTCTGGCAAATGCTATTCTTCACTGCAATTTTTGAATTGAGTAATTATGAGTAAGGCGGCTGAAGGTGTTGGCGGCTGCTGCTCCTGCTGCCACCTTTGCATCGGCTCCGTTCTTTCTAATTGCAGACAGAATTGGTCTGGTTAGAATAAAATGTAAGGCTGGGTAATAATGTGCCCTCTTTCAAACTAATAATGAGTTCTATGGAGGGAACAATGGTTCCTGAAGCTTTTTTCCAAGAAACAGGCATTAGTGTGACTCATCATGACTTGGAAGGGAGTGAGGAAGGAGACGTGCTGTCAAAGGTTAGAGACAAAGAGAAACTATGTTACCTTTGGAGGTCAGTGGCAAAAGACCAAACTCCTGGTCAAGAACTTTAAAGGCCTTTGTCATGGGGTGAAACTTAAAAACTAGGTTCATGATTTGACGCCAACAATTAACATCTCATAAGTTTGCTACTGAGTATCAACCCACAGCTCTTCTCTAAAATTGACCCAGATGGCTCTCTAACCCACAAGCCTCAGCTACGGAGGCTGATGCCCTATCCGTTAGGCGGAAGCTATGGGCAGTCCCTCACCGAACAGCTCGCTGATTGGTTACTCGTTCTGCCCTTACTCAGGAGTTGATTGGCTCTTTTGCCCCCTGTGTTGGAATTGTTCAGATATGTGTTAGGAAACGGTAGGACTTTGTAGGAATAGCTCAGACGGCCATCTGCCTCAGGGTACGGCCACTGGATCATTGCATATGCTGGGAATGTCCAGGTTTTTGTTTCAGGATCCCATATTGGCCAACGGGCCAAGACACAACAATCGCCTCACCTTTAGCCAAAAATAATTCTAGTATGTATTATGAGCTTTTGGTAACAATGTTGTCGAAGCCAGATATAAAAGCCTAACTGGTCGTACTTGGCCCATGAGCCTTAGTTTGTTTATTTTTGGCATAGACCTTGTCCTGTGTGATGCCCCCACATTCCCTCACCCCTCAGGCTGTTGATACTTTGCCAAAAAAAAAAAAAAACCTTAACACTTGCAGTAGATGAAGTATGAATTATGGTAGCTAAATGAAAAACAGCCACAGCAGAAAAGAATCTGACGCCTCCTGCTGACGTAGGCGGACAACTGCTGATGTCACTGGGCTTTGGTTTTACACAGTGAAAATGGGGAGCGAGATTGGACGGCGCAGCCTGAGCCAATCAGTGATTCAGGTTGAAAATGTGCTTCACCATTTATCTGTGCTTAATGAAAAGCAATTTATCTAATCACCACTAGGGAATGTTCCAGCTTAAAGCTCTGGGGAGAAAACACCCGCGTTCCTGTCAGTGACAAATGTCCTGCTGTTTGAAAAAAAAAAAAAAAACTTAACTCACACTTAATGGACAAGAAAGGGGAAAAATGAAGATACCGGAGCAGGAGTGTAACCATTGGTCAGGAGTTTATCACAGTTTTCCTTCTAGGGTCGTGTGGTGCAGTTTTAGTGTTTTTAATTCCTTAAAAAAGAATCACATTTTTTAGGTGATCTACTGATAGAGGAAACTTTAAAAGTATGATTTATTTTTTCTAGAATTTAAGCAGCAAATCCTGCAATGAGTTGGGGTGGGGAAGTTTTGGGTATGTTGCAGGTAAAGGGAGTTGTCGGTTCTGTCATCTTTATTATTTGTTCATCCTGGGTTTAAGCTTTTATCTTAGTTCTCTGATGACGAGGGCTTTTATTTTTAAGGTTTAAGGTTTCACTGTAGTCGAACGGCAGAGTCATTAAAACTTGGCGTATTTATTATTTAATATTATTTTCTTTTACATTTTAGTTTTTATCAACAGACCTGAGGTTAAATCGAAACGATTACAGTAAAATAAAATGACTACATTGACCTCTGACCTTAAGTGAACCATTTTTTTGCATTATAATGTGATAAGATTCCGGTAGAAATCCGACCGAGTCCAGGGTAGATGAGCTAGTTAGCGTGTGGGTCGGGTTGATTGCTCAAAGACAGCAGCGGAGCTCTGATATAAAATGTCATCAAATTAATGACCAACTGTCTGCTCCATCAGTTTCAGGGTCCTTTCTAAGACAATCCATTTAAATCTTGAGAATTATAAAATACATTTTCATCCCGGAGTTGAAAATGACATCATATCCTGATTACTCTGCTAATGAGACCCGCTCCTAAACACTTTATATTCCCCCCAACAGGAATAAAAGTCATTAGTTGCATTTTTTTATTTAAAAAAAATCACTTTCATATATATATATAAAAAAATCATTATCCACCCGTTCAGACAACTTGCTGTTCGTGGAGCTGGAGTTCATTTGATCATTTCATCTCATTCCACGCAGACTGTAAATGTCATTAACTCAGAGAAATATGCGCAGTGGAATTCCTGCTCCTATTGAATTCCGTAATAACTGTGATAGCCTGGGCAGAATATTCCAAGCATGAAATTGAAAGCCTCTACCTCTGTGGCAGCGCTAAATTTGATAGGAGAGTTCTGTAGAAGGTGGAATGTTGGGAGGCGACACGTTAAAGGACGAGCTGATAAAGAAAATGACATCCTGTATATGCGGAGTCACACGTGGCTGCTTATCCCTGCCTTTGTGCTGCCTCTAATTGATACCTGACTGTGAGCTCTGTCTCCGTCTGTGGTTCCTCAGCTCCTCCTGTGAGCTTCCACAGGCTGCTCCCCGTGTTTTACGTTTTGTAGAGATGAGGGAAATTTCACAGAGCCATGGAAACCGAGTGGCACTCGCGACGTGCAGCCCGAGCGGTTGTTTGCCGAGCATTAGCTCTGACATAGCCGTGCGTCTGACATCTTTCTTCTCGTACCTTCTCTCAGCGATTATTCCACCTCATTACTCAACACTTTGAATCCTTTCTCCTCCCGTGTCAGAAATAGATCAAATGTTCCCTCGTTCCTCTTCCCTTCTCACGCTCCTCTCTCTCTCTCCCTGTTTCCCAGATTATGGTGCTGACAGACCCGGAGTTTGAGAGCAGCCTGCTCATCAGCTCAGACGAAGGAGCCAGTTTCCAGAAGTACCGGCTGACTTTCTACGTGGTCAGCCTGTTGTTCCACCACACCGAGGAGGACTGGGCCTTGGCCTACAGTCACGACCAGAAGGTGAGCACGTGCCTGATGTGGTCTGATCATCTGATCAGATGATGAGCTGTCACTCAGATCCAGGACGAAAGAAGGGAAAATGAAAATGAAGAGCAGTGATTATGAATCAGGACCGAAGAAACAAACAATCTGGTTAATGTTAGACAAAAATGGGATTTCTACTTTATTTTATGTTAAGTGTCTTGGTGTCTCCAACAAATATGGTTGGTGACCCCAGATCTAAAGGATCTAAATATAGGGCCCAGGGTCCAGAGTGGGATTAGACGGACAGACGGAATGGTTGTGTGGGTCAGTCCAAGGTATTGGAATATTAGAGTATGGAATAGAAGGTGATCAGTCCACCAAGTCTCTGGTGCCAAGTTAGGGTTAATCAGAATGACATCTGGTACTTATAAAGACTCTGGCAAAAAACTCTAAAGAGAGAAGCCAAAAACAGCTCCTCTGTACCTGTGTATGTATGTGTGTGTGTGTGTGTGTGTGTGTGTGTAGGCAGGACATAAATAGTCTTTAGAAAAATGAGTCCCTGGATCCAGTCCAGTTGCTGGTCCTGATACTGTACTGTAAGTCTGCACCTCTTGGACCCCTGGCTGTCCTGTTTGCTGCGGGCTGTCAAAGCCCCGCCCTTGGCCGCTTGAACTCCCTGCTCTGTCTTTGATATACACGCCACCTGCGTGACTGAGAAGTATTTAATCAGTAAGATCAATAGCTGTAACCACCATTGATCTCATGAGTCTGTTTCATGGCTGAGGTCGACACACCTCATATTTCCTATAGGCTGTCATTTCCTATAAATACTCTGAGCTGCTGAGGGCTGTTTTAATTAACATTAAAAGGGGAAATGTTTTTGGACTAATGTTACGCCAGTGACTGATGAGTACTTTTTTATTCCCTGTAATCCATCACAATAATTATTACATTTTGTAATAACCTTGGTTTGGCTGAAGGCGGGCGGTGGCGTTCTTGCTTCAAATTCGTGACGCTCACACTTTGGGAATGTGAGGCTGTTGTACAAAATGCAAACTTCTCTGATCCTTTAGGTCCAGGATTCCCATTGACAGAATTCACCCCCCCACACACACCCTCCACCCCCCCACCCCCCTTTATCCCAATGTTAGGTTTTACACACACTTTCGGCCCATGTTATATTGAACCTTGTTCGACCTGATTTTCTCCCTCGCAGTCTAAACTGTTGACCCTGCAGGAAGAAGCCTTTAATAAAATTATTTACAGCTAACTAACAGTTTTCAGAGCGGGTCGCTGTGGATTAAATTGGCTGTAAGTCAGCACTTAGCTGTGGCTCAGTTCAACTCCCAGGGCTGGACTTTAGAGGCAGGATTTTAGAAGGCACGTCAGAGAAAACAGCCTCAGGTGATGAAGTCGAAAGTCTAACACGGTAGAACTCCCTGCAAGGAGAAAAGAAATATGAATCTCCTCCATCTTCCACTCAGACCTCCCTAAATCCAACATATACAATCAGGCTTTATAATAATTAGCATAGCAAGTATAGCAGAGTATACTAGCATAAAAAACAAATGTGTTTTGATCAGTGACTATCAACTGGTGGCCCGGGGGCCAAATCCGGCCCACTGAACCATCTAATCTGGCCCATGCCTGGATTCCAAAATCATCTTTGAATAATATTGTTAGAGAAAAATGTGTTTTTATTCCACTTGCCTGGCCCCCAAGGTGTCTGTCCAGACATGTGTCTGTCCACATGACTGGAATCCTTTAGAAAGTAAATCTTCGTGTCATCTGAGGAGGTGTTTGTATTTCCAACATATCTGTCCTGTAACTGCTGAGCCATCCTGGTTTGTTGTTTATTTAGTTCTCCACAAGATGACGTTGACCATACATTAAAAACTGTTTTGGAAACATCAGAAATTTAAACATCTCTCACCCAACACCAGCAACTGTTGCTTTGGTTTGTCCCCAAAGACACAGCCAACAGCTAACAGCTAGCATCCCATTAGCTGGCTACACTGACTAGCTGAAGTGTTGAAGTGATGGCCGTGTTCAAATCTCTGGATTGTGAGTCGATTATTATTGTATTAAATATGGGAATAATTATTCACCAGTGGAGTCCAAATGGTAAGACCAAAGCTGCTGCTGCTGCTATTGCCAAAGAAGTGAGAAGACTAAGAGTCTGATACACAGACAAGTACAGTTAACCACCGAGCTCCCCGTAGACTCAGTGTTCGGGCGTGGAGCCTGAAATCTAGTTTTTCTCTCCTCATTTGAAGAAAAGTGCAGACAAGAAGAGAGTCTTTGATCTAATTTCCACACTAATTCATTGGAGGCCTCCATGTCCTTAAGATGGCATAAAGACTATAATATTCCTAATAGTGAGCTGGAACTAAGTGGAGCTAGATGATATACTGCAGAGAAATTAATTTCTGTGGAATGAAAAGAAAAAGATACAGGAATACATAAAAGATGAAATGTTATGTTTATTTGCAGTGTTGCTCTGGGGACAAGCAAACAGAAGGTTCCTGTTGAGACAGTAAATATTCCAGTCTGCCCAGGCCTCGGCCAACGCTGAGGACAAGACCAGAGACTGAGGTGGTGGTGTACTTGTACTGCAGATTCATTAGAGATGTGGAGTAAAGACTACGTACGCTCAGCAAATATTTACAGTGTAGTTTTCAGTTTAGAGGTGAGCAGTGCTGCATGGAGATGGGGCAGACTCGGTCACGCAGGTTAAGTTATATTAAATTTGCAAACCACCACAAGCAGTACTCTTACTAGTTATAAACTACCAGTGAAACAGCAGAGGAATGAGCAGTTTCATTTGTACATTACCTACTCATACAACAATCAATTCAAAAAATAATTATTTTTCACAAAACCCTCATTTTTCATGACGTTGTAATGATTTGCTGTCAGGGAGAATTGACACGCTTGTGTTTTGTTCTGATGTTCTAAAATTACGCCTGTCAGCCGCCCGCTGTGATTTCCCAGCAGCACATTTGTCTGACATGAATGTGAAACACACAACACACCAGGTCAAATAGACCATGCAATCATGGAGGGATTATAAGACATGAATCTTAAAGGTAACACAGGGAAACCTTCACTGGTCTGAAAACACTGACCTTCACTTCAGTCTCTGGCCTTTTATAATTCACTGTGTCCACCAGAGGGCGTTACAGAGGAGGTGGGTTTAATTGAGGATTTAAGCAACAAAATGAAGTCAGTAATAACTCAAAAGCACATATTGACAGTATAAGCCAATCAAACGCGTTGGGCACTAATTAACCTTTTTTTTTTAATTTATTTTTTAAACTTCCTGCTTGTTCCTAACAAAACAAACAAACCCTGAACAAAAATCCACAACTGAAGCCAAAACCAAGGGGGAATCCTCAAGGCTAACACACCAAAGAGAGTGGTTTGGGAGCCAGCCAATAGGCAATAATAATAATAATAATTCACTCTAAACTGACCTTCAGTGTGAATATGAGTGTGAATGTCAGCACCGATAGTTGACTGTGACTGCTGGGAGGCAGTGAACTGAGGAGACTGCTGTGGTGTTGAGCTCCTGTCTGTGTGGTGAGAAGATCTGAGTCTGAGCTGGATCAGGTTCACACCGGAGCGGAGCAGTGAGCTGGCAGGGTGACTGCAGACGGCCGGATTAACAGCATTAGTGAGCTGACGGATGGATGTGTGCGGAACAGTGATATTAGAGAGGATCATAAGTGAGCGATCAAAGACAGAGCGCTGTCGTCAGCTGTTTCATTAGGACGGGACAGGAAGTCATCTCAGAGGCTCAAACCAGAGTCTTATCAACAGGCTAGTGCAGTTCATTGGTTATAAAGCATGACACAACCTGTAGGTGGTGCTGTTTAAATTAACATCCATAACACCAAGAAATAAGGATTCTGTCCTTATTATTATGGACACTTAGCTTAGCCTTTTAGCAGCAGGCTAGCATCCGATACTAGAGGTGTGTTAAACTATACTAAAACTATAGCTTATAATTTTATTTATTACATTGACTTTTCTGATTTTGATAAATATCAATGTGTTCTTTATATGATGAACTTCACATTCACTTTTTAGAGAATAGCAATGAGTGGCTGGAAAGTCTTTTCGAGTCTTTTTAGAGAATAGCAATGAGTGGCTGTGTCCGCAGTATTAATGCAAATAAGTCAAAGCCTTTGCTCCATACAGATGCACATGGACCACATCCATTTTCACGCCGAGCCTAAATATCTGTTGCTAGCAATGACAGCTGGTATAGAGAGCAGTGACCATGAAAGAGTGGGACCAGGTCTGGAATCAAAGGGAAGTGTTGTACAGAGTGAAGCTGTGGCTGTGGTTGTGTGGTGTAGAAGGGATGAAACAACAGATGGACTGAGTGGTTCTGAAGGAACAGCAGGTACCTGTCGTCAAAACAGCAGCAGGAGGTTGCTCTGCCAAACCGTCAGAGTGTGTCGAGACAACAGGGAGACGCTGCTTTTGTTGTTTTGTGACCTTTGTTGTAGTAATATTCCCAAAGTACTTGTTTGGAACTGCTGGATTACCATATCCAGTAATATTAACAGGACACTTCATTCAATCATCCACTGTTCCACCGCGTAATCCTTGTCATGGTATTGAAGGAGCTGCAGCATGTTTCAGCACCCTGGATAGTTCCCCAGTGACCACCTTTCTACCCTGTGTTCCCATTTCACTGACATTATTTCATGTCCTGGTCCCGGTTTAACCTGTATATCCAAACCTGTCCATTAGTGGGACCAGGATCACCTCAGTACCAGATTACATGTGTCATTGTTTTTATCATCACCAGTGATTTCCATCTTAGAAGTTTCCAATCCCTGGGTCAGCTGTGAGAAAAAAACAGAACAGGTCACTGAACACAAAACTAACAGGCGAACATGTCTGTGGAGAACTGACTCTGCATTGGTCTCCGCAGGGACTTTTTTATGTTTCATGAATGACCTTTGCCCCCTCTTTGCCCGGTCGTGAACTTTAAGCTGTTATTGACAGAAAATGAAACATAT